TGGGGTTCATCCTGGCTACCCAGAAGACAAGAGTCAGCAATCACTGGATAATGCTATCCATCATTTGCGCATAAGCAGGAAAGGGGCCAAATGAGAAAACTTTTCAAGAACCCAGCCAACTCTTCTTTGATTCTGTGACCAGATGGGGGCACTTAGGACCCCAAACATGTAAGGCTCCCTAGGCAGTACAGAATGTGTTATCAGATGTAACATTCCTGGTGACACTTCTGTGACACCCTAACTTCTGTGCCTGATCAGATCTGAGCCTACAGACTGGTAGAGGTGATTGACAGCATGGCCAGGAATCAGGGGTACACCTCATCTACCCCTGAATGCCTCCACCTACCTCAAGCCCCTCCTCCTCTGACCTGCCATGTGGATTAAAATGCCTACCTTTAGAGATACTCCTTTGGGTAAAAACACACCATCTGCAAGAGCCCTGCTGGAGTGCACACATCACATAGAAGATAAGGAGCAACTAGGAGAGAAGGGGAAGCTCTTTCTCTATCTTATTCATTCATTCATTCACATTCATCTCTACAAAAATGAAGAATTCAATAAATATGTATGATCTGACTTACTTTCACCATGGAACACAGAAGATGGGACTCAACAAAGGTAAGTTTTGAGGAGGGAAAATCCAAGGTATAGAGAAATTCCCCTTGCAGCTCTTCAGAGGAGGGGAGCAGGGAGTCAGGAGATGTTGGGAAACCCATGTAACAGAATGCCCCTGGATTCCTGGTGAGGAAGCAAACCTAAAGAGGGGTAAGCAGCAAAGACTAATTTTACTAATTTCTCAACTTTGCCGAGTCCTGAAGCAAAAGTTGAGGCTGTCAGAGAAGATTCAGTAAAAGTGAATGAAGGCATTTGACTTTACGACTTTATAAAGTCAATATATGATTCAATTCATTGGCTCAAAAAAGCCTTTCAACTGGGGGTTCCATCTGTTAATTCCAGGAATCAGGATATGGATAGAACATTCTCGCACAGTTTACTCATTTTGTAAGGCTGTCCTTGAAAAGTTGGACTAATCAAGGCTTTATGAATTTTCTACTAGGCTATAAGAATATATCCTGTTCCAGTAACGTTCTAGACTAAATGTACACTCAGGGGTAACAGGTTAATTTAAGTAGTGAAGTCTTAAATGCTGAAGTAGTTGAGAGTTATCTAATTTTAGTTTCTCACGGAAGACCCAAAGAGTATCTGGATTCTTCAAGTTGTCACATTATTATTATTTCTGAAACAGAGAGAGTCAAGAGAGCAGCAGGAGAAATCAGTTGATATGTCTGGAAATCCAGCATGATGTACATACATTCGCATTGATCCAGATGTTGATCAACAAATTCAGACCCAGAATGGGAGATGGCAGAGAAGCCCAGCTCTGATAACTGGGGATGCTCACCAGGGAGCTCAAGTCTGGAATGGGAGACTTTCTTTGGTCCCACTGCTTGGTTCACCAGGTACAGTTGGATTTTCCCACAAACCTCCGTTCCATGTTCCCAAAAATAGTTGCCAGCCTCAAATCTGGCCAAGACGAGAAAGATTGTGAAATGCCCTGAATGATATCATCTTGACCTTGATTATTATGGTACTTTTTAGTACTTTAGTTTAACAAAAGAAATATGTAGTATTGGGAAATTCTTTTTTTCTTCACACAATGAAGATGTGGAGGGCTGTTTTTTGTTTGGTTGGTTTTTGCTTATTTCATGATCTAGAGCAACGAGGGGAGCTCTGCTATATGTAGTCTCAGGGAGCCAAGTTCCTTCAATGTTGTAGTTCAAGGAATTATATTTTGGAGATGGGGTTATGTCTACTCAGGTGAATGCAAAACTGCAACATGGGTCATATGACCAAACATGAAGGCAGTTATCGGTTGGCTCAGTCATGATCCAATGAGTCTCAGAATGGTAACTATTAGACTCTGAATTTCTTTAGGGAAGAAACCATGAGACATACACCTTTATTTCCCTCAAAAGAACCAAGCCAAGAACAGGAAAGGTGCTCAAAGCCTGAGGGCAACAATGAGCCATTAAAAAGCCACATGCAGAAAAGAGACAATGTCAAGTTTTGCTCAAGAAAGACTACCCTGGCTGCAGTACAGAGGATGGGTTGCTGGGGGCAAGAGTGAAGAAGGGAGACCAGTCAGGAGGCTTTTGCAGAAGTCTGCAAAAGGAACAGAAGAAGAGTGGGATTAAGGGAAAGGAGGCAGCTTGGAGGGATCTTGAGAAGAATTTGACAAGACACTATCTGAGTAGAGATTGCTGGGAAGAAGAGAACAGAAACTAGGGGCCTCCCAGGTTTCTGGCTGGGGTGGCTGGTAGATGAATAGTGGTCTCATCCACTGGGTGTGGCAAGCAGCATCAGGAGAAGGTGGACAGGAGCACAAGTGAGGTCAGGAGACTGTCCATACATGGAGCTGGCTGTGACTAGAGTTGTAGAAGCTACAGCATGTGAAACTGATTTTATTCAAGATGAGACGATAAAGAGCATTCTTTTGCCCTCATAGGTGAGAACATGGCTCCAAGAACTAGGAAGCACCCATAGAAACTAGCACACAGGTTGGTCAGCCACAGCCAGACAAGCAGCAAAGTCCAGAGCAGTGGTTCCAGCCCTGGCTGTTCATTTTAATCCCTTAGGAGCTTTTAAAACTGTACCTGCCTGAGCCCTGCCTCCAGAATTTCTAATGTTGTCCTCCAGGGTATGAAGTACCATGAGGTTTCTCATGACATCCAGCTTTGGGAGCCACAGACTTCAGTGGATGCCTGAAGCCTGGCAATGTCATCAAAACTTATATTCTGATTGAGCAGGTCTGGGGTGGAGTCTGGGGACCTGATTTTATAGCAAGGGCTCAGGTGACCATACTTTGAGTATGGAGAGTGTAGCAAAATGCTTTTCAACCCTGACAGCACCTTAGACTTCCTAGGCCACACCTGAGATCAATGAAATACAAATCTCTGGGGCTAAGACCCAAGCAAAAGAATTTTTAAAGACATCGAGGTGATCCCATGAGTAACCAAGATGGAGAATGATGAAGCCTCTGGAAGACTGCAGGATGAACATTAGGGATCCAGCTGCAATGAGCCTCCTGAACTCCCTCCTAGGGAGGACCAGCTGGCCTCCATTCTGCTTTGCTCTGCCTGGTTAGCGAGAGTCTATTAGTGCCCGGGAGTGGGGGTCACAAATGTTAACCAAAGTTTGTAGAGAGCCTGCCATATGCTTGGGCTAGCTGCCAGGTTGAACAGAACAGGAGACATACGGTGTCAGCAGACCGCTTTTAGACTGATACAAACTGAAAACACTGCTGAGGCTCCAGCAGAAGTCTGTACAGGGTCCAGGAAGGGCACAAAGGAGAGTGTGACCATTCCTACTTTGTGAGGTGGGTGTTCATGTATAGCAGCCAGGTGAAGTGGCAGAGGGAGGAGGGAGCTCAAACCCAAGGAGAATCTGACTCAAGATACTAATGCATAAGAGAGCCTGAAGCAGTCAGCACTTCACACACAAGGGCTGGAGGTGGTAAATATTTTGGAGGCAGCATCATGGTGTTGTGGTTATAGGTGGGTCATCTGATCAGACCCTCTGGGCTGAGCTCTGGGGCCTCCACTTACTGGCACAGTGACTTTAAACAAGTGACTCCTCATTTTCTCAGTGTCCTCATGAATAAAATGTAGCACCCACCTCAGAAGAGTAAATGAGTTCCTACACACAAAGCACTTAGCATGGGGTTGGGATGTAAGAGACACTCAATAAGCTTCACTGGGCCACCATGGTGGGTCCTAACCAGAAGACAGATGCTGGGACCACAGCTGCACAGTGTGTCTGGACAGGAAAGGATTGTGGAGAAATGACAGACAGGGTGGGGGTGAGGCAAGGCTCATGATGCCCATGGTAGGTAAGTGGTCAGACTTCACATAGAACACACACTCTCAGCTGTGTGTGGAATGACTAGGCAGTGGGCACAGGGGGCACGGGGGACAGGGGAAGATTCCCAGGAGCATGCCTTCCACTGGTCAGTTTGATGTGACGCACACCTTGGAATCCTCTAGGGCATCTCCACACTCTCGGTTTTCTTGCTGTTTCTGTGAACTTTATATCCTCTCAGTTATACCCAAATCTAGGCAGAGAGTTGCCTTCTATCATTGACAGATACTGACATTCTTCTATACAAACAAGCTTTTGCTTTCATGAAACCACAAATACCACATTTACATAAAATGGCAAAAATAGAATGCCCAGCAACCTCTGTGGAGGACAGTGGGTGAGTGTGGAGTGCAGCGCCTGGCCTGCAAGCACCCAGAGTGATGGCCCTATGTCTAGGTAGGGAGACTCCACCTCCCTCCAGGACCTTGCTAAACTTCCTGCTGTTCGCTAACTCCCTGTCATTTCCCCATACTTCTTGGGCAGATTTTATTCTCAAAAACTGTCATCTTAAAGAGCTTTAGGACTCTGGGTCAAGCTCTCCTTCTCAAGCCCCAAATTCTGGGCCATGCAGAGTAAAGGCTCTTCCTCCTCAGGGTCTCAGAGCAACAGCATCTAACCCCATCACAGCTCTCTAACCCCATCACAGCTGTGGGTGGATATGATTGTACATTTTCCTCCTGTGAAAAAAAGCTCTCTTGTCTCCTCCCCCTCCTACTAATGGTGTTAAGACCAAGCCAATGACTTTGCTGTCTGTGGCTGGTCTGTGACTGAAGAGACCTCTGTCTCCAGGGCCTTGTACACATCATAAAGATTCAATTCAAGGTCACTGAGCACATTTCTATACATAGTTTAAAGACTCAACAAGAAGGAGCTTGTGGTAGAACCCTCAATTTAGGTCCTGAACCAGAACAGAACAAGTAGTTTCTAACTTGCTCCTTCTCATTCACAGAACCTACTCCCAGCTTAAGGTCTGGCCCAGGCTCATCCTGAGCCAGGGAATTAGGGTGGATGGGGACAAGGGCTGAGGTCCTCCCTAGCTGCTGAGCTTAGAGAGAAGAAAGAATGGGTGGGATGATGCTTACTGCTACACAGAGGAGCATGGGTCCTCGGATGATCCACCAGATTGGCTTATTATTGTTTGTTCCCCAGCACCTATAGCAAAGAGAAGACAGTAAATTTTAAATCAAGTTAAGGTTCAATGCAAAAGCCTCATGCCCTCTGGACAAAGGATGCTCACACTCAAGACTTACCTTCAACCCATCATTGTCCTGAGGGATGGAAGAGAAGAACAGACTCAAATTCCTTCCTGCTAATACTGTAGCGCTGGCTTTTCTTGCCACTGAAGGGTGCTAAAGCTTGGTGTATATCCCTCTACATTTGTCTCTGTGTTCTCAAAAATGTAAATACTTAATTATATAGGGGACTTTTGGGTGGTGTTTATTTGGAGGAAAAAATGGGATGACATGATCTGCATTATTCAGCAACAGGCTTAACAAGGTACTATTGAGATTCAGTCTCAAGAAGCCAGAAGATAGAGAATATTCCACAATATAGGTATGCCACTATTTATTCATTGATTCCTGTACTGACAGATATTTAGGGATTTTTTTTGTTTGCTTAGGGTTTTTTGTTTTATTTTAAAAATTGAGATATAATTGACATGTTAACATATTAGTTTCAGGTGTACAATGTGATGATTCAGTATATGAATATATTGTAAAATGATCACCACAAGTCTAGTTAACATCCATCACCTCATATAGTTTCAAATTTTTCTCTTGTAATGAGAACTTTTCAGACTCACTCTCTCGGCAACTTTCAAATATACAGCATGGAAGTGTTAACTGTAGTCACCATGCTGTACGTGACATCCCCAGGACTTACTTATTTATAACTGGAAGTTTAAATCTCTTGACCACTTTCATCCATTTCATTTTGCTTTTCCCCCCACTTTGAACTATGAGGCAATGACTATTCTTGTACCTATATCCTTATATACCCAGGGTCACTGATAAAGTATGCAGTACATTTTGTGCCAGTTGGTGCTAATTTTGTAATAATTTATAGATGTAACTTAATAAATTAATAACTAATACTATAAGAAAAATCTTTCATTATTTTATCCATATTCCTAGGTATATTTTATTTTATTTTTTTATTCTCACCCAAGAACATTTTTTTCATTGCTTCTAGAGAGAGAGGAAGGGAGACAGAGGAACATTTATGGGAGGAAGATGCATCGATGGGTTGCCCCAAGTATGTGACTGGACCAGGGATTGTGATGAGGATGAAACCTGCAACCTAGGTGTGCACCCTAACTGGGAATCAAACTGCAACACTTTGGCTATGGGACAATGCTCCACCCTACTGAGCCATACCCACCAGGACTCCTAGGTATATTTTAGATGGCCAAAATTGAAGGGGATGGACAGTCTCTTTAGGAAAATGATATACATATTTGTATTTGGGCATATTTGGGGATCACCTGCTCATGAAAGTGAGAAAACAGGTGAATTACCTACCCTGTATCCTCCAGCTTTGCACGGGCGACACTCCAGGGCACAACAAACAGCAGTGGGAAGGCTAAAAGAGAACCGGGAGTGCAATTAGCAGCTGGTTGGCCAAAGCTGCCTGCCTCCCACCCCAGCCAGATGGGCCAAGTACAGCTGGTTAAATCCTATAAAATCACAGAACTGGGGACTGCAGGAACACTAGAGTGGCACAGAGCCTGTCTATGCTTTTACTGTCAGGGAAACTGGAGAGTAGAGAGGACAGACTTGCCACACATCCCAGAGCAGCTTGTAGTAAATATAGAGACATTATCCAAAATCTTCTGAACTTCAGGCCAAGGTTATTTCCTCTGAATCCTGCAGCCTCAAATTCCCCAAAAGCTTGTGACAGCAGGGGTTCCAGACCTCATCTTGAAGACTTAATTAGTGGTATGATTTGTGTGTAACCCCCCAAATTAATATGTTGAAGCCCCAACCCCCTACATGATGATATTTGAAGATGAGACCTCTGGAGGTAACTGGGTTTAGAAGTGGTTGGGAGGGGCTGTCAGTCAGCATGATGGGATTAATGCCCTTATAAGAGACCAGAGAGCTGCTTGTCTTTCTCTCTATCTATCTCTCTACCTCTACCTCTACCTCTATCTCTACCTCTACCTCTATCTCTACCTCTACCTCTACCTCCACCTCCACCTCCATCTCCATCTCCATCTCCATCTCCATCTCCATCTCCATCTCCATCTCCATCTCCATCTCCATCTCCATCTCCATCTCTATCTCTATCTCTATCTCTATCTCTATCTCTATCTCTCTCCATCTCCCAGGTGAGGATGCAGCAAGAAGACAACTATCTGCAAGCCAAAAAGAGGGCCCTCACCAGAACTCAATCATGCTGGCAGCCTGATTTCAGATTCCTCAGCCTCCATAACTGTGAGAAATAAACATCTATTGTATAATATCCAGTCCAGGGCACTGTGTTATACCATCCTGAGCAAACCAATACAGTTGGGGGCAAGGCAGGAGAAATGGCATCTGATTCTACCAAAAACCTTCTTAATTTCTGAATGTGTGCATTGGGTCTGTTGGCACTTGTGCATATGTGTGTGTGCTTGCTCGTGTGCATGCGTGTGCATGTGCATACATACAGTGACAGACTCTTGTCACTGAGGAATGGTCTATCCCACAAACCTCCATCCAATTGGGTCTCTACCTCCAACCAAAGATTCTACTGAGCTCCCATGTTCTAAAGAGTCCCCAGAAAAAAAGAGGCTGGGGTTCAGGTCACTCACCCCAACCCACCAGCAGGTATCTGGGCCACAGCCGCCTTCCAGAAAGCACTGTGGGCTCCAGCAGCGTGTGGAGATAAAAGCCTTCCACCAGAAACCAGGAGTAATTGGCCCCCACGAAGTAGTGCAGGAGGACCTGGGCAGAGCGGCAGGAGGTGGAGATCTGCAGAGGACAGAGCACTTGGAGGTGAGTCCAGGCTTTTCAGGGTCTGGACTCAGAAGGTGGGGGAGGGCCTCCCTATGCATAACCCTCCCTCTCACTCCCCTCTCTCCCAAACCCTTGATGACTGTCTCAGAGAGGCAGCACACTACCAAACTGTGAAGGAGTGCTTCATGTAGGTTTCATTGCCTCTTCCTTGACACTACAGAGATTGTCAGACAAACAAAACCAGAAATCTCATGAGTGATTTCCCTAAAAAAAAAAAACATTAAAGGATGTGTTCTCTGATCCCAGTTCCATTAAGCTAGAAATCAACATCCAAAATATCTTCATATGATTAGACATGAGGAAACAAACTTCTGAACAACTCACGAATCAAAGGAGAAATTATAATAGAAATTAGAACTTATTTCTGAACTGAACGAAAGGAAAATGCCACATATCAAAGTTTGTGCTATGCAGACAACACCACACTTAGAATGACACTTACAGCCTTAAATAACTTAATTAAGTAAGGAAAGGGCTGATAATCAATTACTTTAAATATTTATGCCAGAAAAAGAAGAGCAAATTAAACCCAAAAATACTACATGGAAAAATAATAAATATGAAAGTGGAAATTAATAGAATAGGGAACATAAAATAAAGAGAATCAACAATGCCAAAAGTTCAATTTTTGAAAAATCCAATAAAACTGAAACTACTGGAAAATGTGACCAAGTGGGGAAAGACAGTGAAAACACAAATAACCAATATCAGGAATGAAAAAAGAAACACTATCCTAGATGCAGTAGATCTTTAAAAAATCTTAAGAGACTATAAACAATAAAATGCCAGTAAATTTGAAACATTAGATGAAGTAGACAAATTCCTAGAAAAACACATTACCTTGTGACACCAGAAGAAATGGAAAATCTAAATATAAGAGTCATAATTAGTTCATAATTACAAGTCTTCCAATAAAGAAAAATATGGGTCCAAATGACTTCACTGGTGAGATCTATCAAACATTTAAGGAAGAAATAATACCCATCTTAAACAAATTCTTCCAAGGAATAGGGGAAGAGAGAACAAGACTGATTTGTTTTTAAGAGGGCAGCATAAACTTTATCCAAAAACTTAACAAAGGCATTACAAGAAAAGAAAATTATTCATGGATATATATGACATGCTGAACAAAAAACAGTATTAGCAAATTGAATCCAGCAATGTAAAAGGAACAATAATATGTCAGAACCTAGTTAGGTTTATCCTAGGAATACAAAGGTAATTTAACAGATTACTGCATTTATTATTACCAGGATAAAGGAAAAAACATGTCAACAGATGCAGATTTCAATCTGGAAAAGCTTTGAAGGGTATTCTGGTTTAATTCCTTCTTTTATCTTCAGATGGAAAAATTTCTCACCCAAGGGCCATTCAGTAGCCCCCCAGTAAACTTTCCTGCTGATGATTTTCTTTACCTTGTCCCACTTTCAAGAGGCTTTTCTTTTTCTTTTTTTTAAAGTCAGACAATGCCTATCTAACCACAAATCCTTTGACACCCACCCCTTGTCTCCCTCCTCCCCTCTCAAGCCCCAGCTCGCCGCCCTCTGATTCCCGGTACTGGTCCACCAGGTGGGAAGATGTACCTCTGACACATAGGACAGCCACTGCTTCTCACTGTCGGGCTTCTTGGAGTAAGAGTTGTAGATGATGATGTCCTTCACCAGCACGGCCACGCCTCGCAGGATAAAAGAGGCAAACAAGTTCATGTGGATGTAGTAGCGTGTGCAGTGGAGTTTTCTGTGCAAGGAGAAAACCGAGAGCCTTCCCTCAGGAGAGAACGGCTCAGACCAACAGGTGTGTGCCTGAGACACTTGTGCATCTACCACTAAAGGGCAGAGGCTCACAGTGTGGGAGCCAGAATTGGGAGGCTGGATTATGTGATCTGACTTCTCTGTGACTCCTTTTCCTCATCTGCAAAACAAGGACAATAATAGCTAACACCTATATAACATGTTCAGCGTGCCTCACTGTGTTCCAAGCCATTTACATGTGTGTACACACTCATGGGTGGACCTGGTTTTATAGCTGCGGGGCGGGCCAGGGAGGGGGGATTGAGGCAGAAAGGTTAAGTCACTGGTCCAAAGCCCCAGAGCAGTAAATGGTAGAGCAGAGATTTGAACCCAGCAACTCTAAGGCTAAAATGTGGCTCTCCAAGGCTCTACTGCCTGGAAGAACAAGAACACTTACCTCAAAGGGCTACAGGAAGATTCAATCAGTTAACGAGTGAAAAGTGCTCACCCTGTTCCTGAGCACAGAATGAGGTGTTGCTGTCCCTCACCCACCTGGAGCCTCCTCAGTGGTGGCTATGTCCTGGCCAATGATGCAAAACCACAGCCTCAGCCTCTGCCATCCCTAGCTCTCACAGCCCTGCCTGGGCCCATGTGCAGCACACACCCAGTCCTGCCTTGCTTTAGAGCTGTTCTTTTTTTAATCTCAAAAAAAGATGTGACGCAGGTCCTTATGTTTTACCCTTTAGGCATCCTTCTCTGCAACTAGACCAGGGACTACTCAAGAGCAGGGACTGAGGCAAAACAGATACCTGGTTGACCCAGGTCCTGCTAAAGGTACTTCCAGCATGGCCGGGCAGTCGTTTTCACTGGGCTTGGTTCAGAGACTTTGGGAAGGTGCATGGAGGAGGCCACAGATAGACTGCAATTCTTCCATTGTTCAAAACTTGCTCTCCCAGTGGCATTGACAGCCCTGACTCTGCTCCAGGAGCCACAGGTCATCCAAGGTTAAGGGCCAAGTAGGGCCAGACCCAGGGCTAGCAGAGCCCTGGTGAGCTGCTCTAGAACTAGCATTCAGGTCTCCATGGTCCTCATCCAAGTCTCCTGTGTCCATGCCAGACTCTCATTCTGCCACATTATGAAGGGGGACCCCCCAAAACTCAGAATTTATTTATTAAAAACATGTATTTATTCTTACATGTTTAAACTTCAGTCACCTTCAAAGTACTCTCCATTTGATACAATAAACCTATTGAGACTTTTTCCCACTGCTCAAAACAGTTTTTGAATTTGTGGATTTTGATGCCTGTTAGTGCTTCTGACGTTTTCGTTTGTTTGTTTGTTTCCCCTCCTCCACATGGGCAAAACATTTCCTTTTCAGGACTTTTTTTCATCCAGAAAAACAAATTTTAAAAAACGTCACACTCAGGGTGAGATTTCATAAATGGGGGGGCGGGGGTGGACCATGGGGATCATGCTGTTTTAGGTCAAAAACTGCTGAAAACAGCTCAGTGTGGACCAGTGCACTTGTAAATCACACATTATGAAATGGGCAAAAGCAATGAAAGAGTCTTCAAAAAAATTCACTGAAGCTGCACACAGCCTCTCACAATACCACCAGCTAGTGCACTGATACTGGTGGGTACCTAGAACACTTATGTAGGGGGATAGCCTGTTCTTCAGGGGGCCCACCCTCCAGAAGATAATTCTGGGTCTTTTGGGGTCCCCCTCGTATGTGCCCAATTATATTCCTGAATGGGCTGGACCATGAGACAGCTTCAGAGGGCTCCCTAGTTGTTCTCTAAATACCTCACTTGGGTAATTTCTAAAAACATGATTTAATAAAATGCACTCAGGCTCTGGATTCTGAAAGAGAGTATTAAGGGATTGAAAATGCACAGGCTCCAGACTGCCTGGCTGTGATCCTGCCTCCCTCACTCACCAGCTGTGTGATCCTGGGCAAGTTACTCAATCTCTCCATATTTCAATGAACTCATTTATAAAATAGCAGTTACAATAATGCTAATCTTTTGGGATTAGAATTAATATAATTCTGATTAGGACGAGATTTAAATGACTTAGTGCATGTAGCATGCTTAGAACAGGGCCTGAGCACTGAGGAAGCATGGCTAACTGGATTTGATGGGCCCTGGGTTAGAATTCTGCCTCCACCACTCACTAATTCACTTTGGGGACGTTCTTAATCTCTTCTGTAAAAATAATGCCTCTGGCAGAGTTGTGGTGAGCATGGGCTATGGTAGTCATGGGTTTCTTAGGAATTTAGAGCAGAGCCTGGCACAGAGGAGGTTATCTAACCCAAGGGAGGCAAAGGCAGACTTAGGAGTCCAGATTCCAATTCTCACTGCGCTTTGTGACCTGGGTGACTCGGTGCCTGTCAGTGGACCCCTGGTCTCCTTTCTCCCTTCACCTGCAAAATGGGATGGATGGACTAGGTACTTTCTTGGATTCCTTTCCAGCTCTGGTGAGCCATGACAGCACCTGCAGCCTTCTAGATGTAGTCAAGGAGCACGTGCCAGCAGATGTTCCACTCACCGAAGACACAGGAGGACAGTGAGAGCCAGGAGGAGGGAGACAATGGAGAGCGAATACCCCACAGTATACAGCAGCTGCAAGGTGGACAGCAAGCCATGGTGTTTCACCTGAACACAGAGGAAGAGCAAACATGATCACCAAGCTAGATGGTTACAGTGTCTCAACCCCAAGCTCCATGCCCAGGACCACCAAGGCTTTAGGCATGCACACTATCCTTGCTCACACCGGAGTAGGGCAGCTTAACCCGCTGTCTGGAACATCTCAGAGGGCAAGTAGCCTTGATGAGTGAAGGGCCCACCTGGGTCTCACCTTTTTGGCTGGTCCCAAAGCCCAGCACTGGTGCACCGAGATTCACAGCATCACAGAACTGTGCCAGGACAGAGGGTGCCTTGGGAATGGGGACAGGTTCTTTGTCCCTGGGTGTGCTGTCACTAGAGTAAGGTAGTCCCTCTCCCTGGAAGATGTGGTCAGGTTTCCAACTGGATATCTCCTTTCTAAAATAACTTTTCATAGATGACCCCTTAGGCAGAGACCTAGTAAAACACTGGGCTATTTTCTCTGAGTCCCAGGACAGCTTGATTTTGGGCAGAGGATTATTTACTGAAAATTATGTTTTATTAAGTGAGACCTTTTAATAGAATCTCACGTTTTCATTCAATCCATCATGCATATCATCATCAAGATACTGTGGGTTCTTCTACAAAATTTATTTAAAAACAAAATCTTGATGGTGTTCCTAAGTAGATTTTGTAAAAGAGCCCACAGTAAATACTTATTACCTGCTAAATTGTGTCTTAAACTTCACTGCATAACTCTTTTTATCACTTACTCAAGTATGGAGGTCCAGTAAACTACACATATTTAAAGTATAAACCCTGATTAATTAGTATTGATTTCATCACTGCATTCCAGATAACGAACACTTCCATCACCTTCCGAAAGTTTCCTTATGGCCCTTTGTAATACATTTCTCCTCATTACTTCCTGCCACCCTATGCCCAGGCAACACTGGTCTGCTTTCTGTCATTAGAGACTAGTTTGAATTTTTTTTAATTTTATATAAAATGGAATCTTATGATATGTACTCTTTTATATAAGGCTTATTTCCATCAGAATAATTATTTTGAGATTCATCCATGTAATAGCATGTATCAATATTTTGTTCATTTTTTATTGCTGAGTAGTATTACATTGTGAATGTACCACAATTTCTTCACCCACCTATTGATGGACACTTGGATAGCTTTCCGAGTTTGTCTTTTACAAATAAAGTTGCTATGAAAACTTCTGCACAAGTTTTAACATGAACATAGATTTTCATTCCTCTCAGATAAATATCTAGATGTAGAATAGCAGAGTAGTATGTGTTTGTTTTAACTTCTTAAGAAACTGCCAAGCTGTTTTCTAAATAAGTTGTAGCAATTTACATCCCCACCAGCAATGTATGAGAGTTTCAGCTGCTCTCGATTCTATTACCACTTCATATAATCAGTCTTTTAGATTTTAGCCATTCTAATGGGTGTGTAGTAGTATTTTACTGTGGTTTTAATTTGCACTCCTCTAATGACTGATGATGTTGAGAATCATGTCATGTGTTTATTTGCCATCTGTATATCTTATTTGGTGAAGTATCTGTTCAAATATTCGGCCATCTTTTAAACTGAAATGTTTGTCTTAATTTTTCATTGTGAATGTTCTTTATATAGTCTAGATGTAAACCTCTTGTCAGATATGTGTTTTGCAAGTATTTTCCCTCATTCTGTGACTTGCTTTTTTATTTTTTATCTGTGTCTATAGAAGAGCAAAAGTTCTTTTTATTTTGATTAAGTCCAATTAATCGACTTTTTTTTTATACTTCATGCTTTTTTCCTAGAAGTTTAATAGATTGGGCTCCTACATTTAGGTTTGTGGTCTATTTCTAGTTAATTTGTATTCATGGTGTGAGGCAAAGATAGAAGTTGTTTTTTATATCCAGTTGTTCTGGCACCATTTGTTGCTAAGATTATTCTTTACCATTGAATTGCTTTGGCACTTCTGTTAAAAACCAATCATCATTTATATGTGAGGGCCTGTTTCTAGACTCTATATTATAGTTCATTATTCTTATATTTATCTTTAGGTCAATATTGTGCTGGCTTAAATACTATAGTTTTATAGTACAATAAGTCTTGAAATCAGTTAATGTTAGTCCTCCACCTTTGTTCTTTCTCAAGTTTGTTTCAGCTATTCTAGGTATTTTGCATTTCCATAGAAATTTTAGAATCAGCTTGTCAGTTCCTTTAAAAACATGTGCTGAGATTTTGATTGGGATTACATCAAAACTATGGATCAATTTAGAGTCTGTGACCATAGTGTATCCTTCCATTTATTTAGATTCTTAAAAATTTCTTTCCACAAAGCTTTGTAGTTTTCAGTATATGGGGGTTGCTCATCTTTTGTCAAATGTATCCATATGTGTTTTGTATTTTTAATTCTGCTATAAGTAATATTGTTTTCTCAGTTTTAGTTTTTAATTGCTCATTGTTATTATACAAAAATACAACTGTTTTTATACATCGATCAGTAGCCCACAACATTGCTGAGCTTGTCTATTAGCATCAGTGGTGGGATTTTCCCATAGATGATCATATTGTCTGTGAATAACATTTTTACTTGTTTTTTCCCCAAACTCTGCATTTTTTATTTCCTTTTCTTGCATTATGGCTTTATCTAAGACCTTCAGTACAATGTTCAATGGAAGTGGAAAGAGTGAACTTATTAGCTTGTTAGAGATTTTAGGAGAAAGCATTTATTCTTTCACCAATTAGCATGATGTCAGCTGCAACTTTTTAAAGGTGCCCTTTAATGTTTATTTTCTGTGGCTGCCATAACAAATCACTACAAATTTGGTGGCTAAAACAACATGATTTATTGTCTCACAGTTCTAGAGGTCAGAAGTTCAGACTCAGTCTCCCTGGGCCAAAGTGAAAGTGTCTGCAGGCCAGTTTTCCTTCTGAAGGCTACTCCAGGGTGGGGGCATGAGTTCCCCAGCATGTCTGGCCTGCCTTTCAGATGACAGAGTGGGCTCCAAGAACCAGAAAACCAGAAGAAAAAATATGTACTAGCAATCAGAAGCGAGAAAGATATGTATAGAATTGGTTTGGGCAAGAGGATATGGATGAGCACCAGCTGGGACAGTTGGTTTAATTGCACTCCGTTAGAAAAGCTTCTTAAACTGTCCTCTACTTTCAGGGCTCTCCCCAAACCTGGCCACTTTCACAGAGGTCTCAGAACACCCAGATCATCTCCAGTTTGCTCTCACTACCAGTAGGTGAATCTGAAGTCACTTAGATATCTTTATAAAATGCTTCATAATCAGCATGTAATATGCATCCACCAGGCAAATTGGCATTCTCAAACACTGCTGAAAGGAGGGCAAAAGAGTACAACCTCTATGGTGGGGGGCAGATTTCACAATATCTGACAAATAATATGAACATCTAACTTTAATACAGCAATTCCATTTCTAAGAATCTTCCAAAAAATACACCACCACAAATATGAACCAACACACACATATAAGATTATTCAAGGTGGCATCATGAGTAATAAAAAATTGGAAATAACCCAAATGACCATAGGACAGTGGCTGAATAAACAAACAAAATATAGAGAGTGGAGTACAATGCAGATGTAAAAGAAAAAAAGGAAGAGAGAACTGTTTCTAGAAACTGATATAGAATAATTTCCAGGACATATTGTAAGTGAAAAAAGAAAGATGCAGAATAGAGTACCTGGTATCTTGTCTTTTGTGTAAGAAAATGGGGAAAGAACATTTTTATATATTTGCTTAGTTTTTCAAAAAGAAATGTAAGGTATACATTACAATTTGATAAATGGTAAAGAAAAAGAAAAGAGAGAGAAAAGATAAACTAGAAAATAATAAAAGTGGTTATCTATAGAGAGTAGGTAGAAACACAGTTAGAGACAATGGTTAAAGTAAGATTTCTCTCAGTACACTTTTTTATATAGTTTCACCTTTCAACCCTTGCCAATATTTTATTTATTTAAAAATTTTAAAGACAGGATAATGAAAAGGCAAACTCTTAGTACAAATAGAAACAAATAAACAAAACTGCGTATCCAATTAATAACATGACCACATAAAGAATGTAGTCTAAGGACATAAAGAGTTTCAAAGAAATCTGAAACTTTACCAAGTAGGTTTATCTTTTTAGTGGCAATTTTAATATTAAGGTTGAAACTATTTTATATGTACTTTAAGAACAGATAAATACATAATTATGGTAATGTTATTTGGAAGAAAATTTTCACTGAAAGAAAAAAGATATAGAATACAAAGTAAAAGAAGATAAAAAAGTGCTAACTGTTAAAATTGAATCAGAATTATCAATATGAAGTCTTAATTTTTAAAAGTGCTTTTTTCTAAGTCTGTACACTGAAGGTCCTAGAACTAGAAGTCATGGCAATGACCACAGCGAACACTGCGATCTTGTTTCAAATACCATCTTCCACTTCAACAATCCAGGACTCTTAGAAGTAACAGCTGACTTGTGCAAGGAACAGGGAAAACACAAGATGAGCTTGGACCATCTCCTTGTGCCAGAAAATAAGGAAGTGCTCAAGAACTAATAGGAGTGTAACAAAAGGACATGAGAACCAGTTTGAAGAAAGGGATTTTACTAAACCTAGGAAATATTTCATCAAAAAGAATAAGCATAAGTGAACAAAACAATCTGTAAGTCCACAGTGATGTTCTAAAAAGGAGGGGGAAAAGGAGGACTTCTTTTCTGAAGATTACCACCTAGTAAATCTGGAAGGAATGATTGAGCTTGAATCAATTCAAGCAAGCATCACCCATGCAGATTAGAACACTGATGAAGATTTGTTAGTGAACAAGGTAGACACATGGTACAAAGTATCACCCCACCAGTTACTGACTAAACACAAAAGGAGAAACAAGTCTTGACTTTTGAGAGATCTGGCTATTGCTACATTCGATATGTTAAGCTAAAAAGAAAAAAGACATTTCAAAGTGAGAGGTAATAAACATCTATTTGTGTTCAAAATAATATTTCTTCTGGATGCACTGATTTAAGACAGAGGC